ACTCCTAGATAATTCCACGAATATTGTTTCCAAAGAGAAGACTACAGCTTTGCTTTAAACAAGTGCAAAGCTTCTAAGTGAGTACGTCAGTTGAGTCAAATGAACTTACAATGATCTCGGATATAACCATCCATCAGTTATAACAACCGCACTTCAATGTGCAGTTGAATCTCATTAATTCGAACACGCTTAATTTGAGCTCCCGGATAATTAGAACTGACACTACTGTCTTGTCATAACTACCGTATTTACTCGCATAATCCTCGCACTTGCATAATTCTCGCACCCCCTACATCGCCCAAGAAAAATACGATTCTTTTTTTCCTTGAGTAATTATTGCACCCACAAAAACTCCTGCAATAATGTCGTCTGCTCATTCCAGCCACTGATGATGATAGCACGCGCTATCTGGTGCCATCTCTTAAGCATCAAGCGTGCAATTGCACGGAGATTCAATCCAATCCAAGCCAAGCCGAAATGGCCAGTGCGCGTTGCGGCGTGTTTTCTATGTTGTGTCGGTAATCTTGACACGTTATGGGGCGATACTGAAGCCACACGGCCGCTTCAAGTTGCAAGTGATAGATCACGCACTAAACAACGGCAACAGGGCCGCCAATAGGCCCTTGCCAGGAAAATGACGAAGCAGAAACAGAAATGGTTTGCGAGCTGCGTGCTAAATTTATTGACTCGCTCCAAGGCAAACTTGTGCAGACGCGCATCACCGATTACTTTAATTAATGACAAGTGTCTGGCGATTTGTGCATAAATGTAAGTCTTCTGAAACTTCCCCCGTGTGTGTGTTAGCTCAATGCACATGCGCCACTGCATGATGAGCCCTCCGTTCATTTAAATTTCATTATTTCGAACTTTATTTATTTCGAACAAATTTTTGGGCCCCTTTGAGTTCGAATTATTGAGATTCACTGTACTTATAATTCTTTTACGTACAGCTGTCAGCACCTTTAACACGAATGCTCCGCTGCGTGTGCTGCAGCAGTTTGATTGACGCTGACACCACGTAGGTTTGGGTTCTGTTGCTAAGATGCCAACCATAGATGCTGACACACTATCCAAGCCTACTGAGGTATTATCTCGGCAAAAGTGCCCAGCACTTCGCGACTGGCATCAATCAAACTAGCCTTGGCCAAGCATCCAAGTGTTCACGTTAGAGGTGGTGACAGCTGTACACATTACAACTGTGTCTACCATACACAGAAGGTTCCCTATATATACGAACACTTCCAACACGTTCGCAGTAACAATACGGTGCAAACAAAGCAAAAAAAATGTTAAAAACAGGCATTCTAAACCATGCCCAGAACATTTCAAAATTTTTCATGTGCTTACTTAAATATTGTTTTGTGCCACTTAGAAAACGAAGAAGTGAAAGACAAGTTGGTGCCCGTTCTCGCCATCTCGACATCATTGAGCCATCTTCAAGCTTTCAGGCGTCGCCTGAGGCACTTGAATCCCTTCATGGCGCGGCACAGTACTTTTTTTCCATCGACCTTCGTTTGGGTTATCGGCAATTAGTTGTCGATGAAAATGATCGGGAGAAAACCACATTTATTACACCCAATGCTCTATACCAGTTTAAAGTCATGCCTTTTGGGTTGTGCGATGCGCCAGCAACATTTTAGCACATGATGGACTCGCTACTGAGGAGTTGTGGTCCACATGCCTCTGCTACCTGGACGATGTCGTGGTTTCCTCCCCTACGTTCCCTGATCCCCTGCAACTTTTGCCAGATATTTTGCAAGTCTTTCGCACCGTCGGTCTTCAACTCAGCTCTTCAAAATGCCGCTTTGGCCACCGAGAGATCCCAGTGCTTGACCATCTTGTTGTCGCTGCAGTTGTACGACCTAATCCAGCAAAAAATATGTGCCGTCGCCAACTTCCCTATTCCATGTTCTTCCGAGGACGTTCACTCATTTTTTGGCCTTCGCTCGTATTTTCGCAGCTTTGTTAAAGATTTTGCAGTGATTGCGCAGCCCCTCCCATGCCTTTTGAAAAAGGGCGCACCTTTCTCTTGGGAACCTGACCAAGCGTCGGCTTTTCTCATCTCGTTGACTGACTCACGATGCCCTCTGTGTTGCCCTACTTTGACGACTCTGCGCATACCTAAGTATGTACTGATGCCAGTGGTCATGGTATTGGCACTGTCATTGGCCAAAATCAACGTGGTCACGACTGCATCATTGCTTATGTCAGTCGCCTCCTCTCCGCAGCTGAGCGGAACTGTTCTATAACAGAGAGTGAGTGTCTAGCTCTTGGTCAGGCTGTTGAAAATTTCGTCCCTAGGGATTTGTACAGCAGTCCCTTCACCGTGGTAACTAATCACAATGCCCTATGCTGGCTGTCTTCACTCAAGCATCCCGCTGGTCGCCTTGGTCGTTGGTCACTATGACTTCAAGAGTACACGTTCACTGTTATCTACAAGTCCGGCCGCTTTCATCAAAACACCGACTGCCTGTCCAGTTATCCTACAGATCCGTCAGACTCATCAGCGAATAATAACGATCCGTCTGTGCTTGCTATAACTGCCTTGTTCAACATTTCTGCTGAGCATTGACCTGAATCAATTCTTCGCAAGATCATCGACCGTCTCGACTCTACGGCTCCTGATTCATTCCTTGGCCGCTTTGTGCTATGTGACGGCACCTAGCTACATCGCAGTTAGCTCCCTGATGGTCCTAAGCTCTTACTTGTGATTCGCACAGACCTTCGCTCGACTGTTCTGGCGCAGCCTCACGACGTGCTGCCGGCGGGGCACCTCGGCATTCTCCGCACCTACAAGTGTGCATGCTGTTATTTTTACTGGCCAGAAATGTAAAGGTCAGTACACCAATAGCATGACCTTTTGCAAACTTTGTCAGTGCCGGAAGAAGTCAACACTCCCACCTGCCTGCCAACTGTTTTCAATCACTCGACGTCCTGTATGAACTGTTTAATCATGTTGGATTCAACTTGCTTGGTCCGTTTTCTTCATCTGTCTCAACAAATCGATGAATGGCCGTTGCAACAAACTATGCCACACGGTTTGCAATCACTCGCACACTTCTCACCAGCTGCCCGACCGTCATAGCAGATTTCTTGCTCCACAATGTCATTCTTCTGCACGAAGCACCACGGAGGCAGTTTCTTTCTCGGGTCATTAATGATAATTTAATGTCTCGCTCAATCAAACACAAGCTGACCACGGCCTACCATTTGAAGATGAATGGCTTGACGATGCTGATGAACCGAACCCTTACAGACATGCTGGCATTGTACAGTAGACTCTCGTTGAGCAGAACTTGAAGGGACCGGGAAAATATGTTCCATTTAACGGGAGTTCCGTTTACTGAAAAGTGAGCACGGGTGCAGAATAAAAGCCCGAAACCAAGTATTGTAGAGGAATAGTTTCGTTTACAGACAGTCTACTGTACGTGTCTGCCAACGACCAAGACTGAGATGAAACGTTACCTTTTGTCACGTTCGCCTACAATTTGTCACGGCACGAGACGGCTGGCTTTTCACCTTTCTTTCTTTTATTTGGCTGAAATCCAATGTTGCCTCTGGACACAATGATGCCTCCTTCGACGCACCCATCCACTGAATACGCTCAAGAAACTATAGCTTGTGCCGACCACGCACGTCAACTTGCGTGTGTTCGGCTAACCGACTCGCAAGCGGGCCAACAATGTCGTTACGAGAGCCGTCACCAAAACGCCCACTTTCGTCCAGGGTCTCTTGTCCTCCTGTGGTTTCCAGCACGCCATATTGGGCTTTCCGAGAAGCTACTGTTCCCCTACTCTGAACCATACTTTGTGCGGCACCAAGTTACCAATTTCTCGTATGAAATCGAACAACTGTCTTCGTCCTCGTCGACTCAACCCAGCATCGACATAGTTTATGCTGTCCACCTGAAGCCTTATCATAAACAGGACTCCCCTAACGCACATGCATAGTGACCACTTTCTCCGGCTTCGGGCTGCACCGAGCCGGTGCCTTCGCCATCGAAGGGTAATGTTATGTGCCGCTTAGCTAGCGGTCGAAGAAGTAAAAGACCACGTGGTCCTGCTCTCGTCATCTTGGTTGTTTAAACCCGCATTACTGTGACTGTAACTATTGTAAATGCACCCGTTTTTTTGTCATCTCCCCTTAAAAATATTAAAAAATAAACAAACAGCATAACAGCACAGAATGGGCGTTTGTGAATATCCTTATGAAAAATATTGACAAGCTTATGTCTAATTAGTTAACAAATTTTGGGATGACAATGAGAGTTTATGAAGAGCTCCCACTCAAACACTACATTGAATAGCTCAAAAACAATTTTAGTTATGATATCAGCACAACAAATGACCTCTGCATGCCAAATGTCATCACTTTATGTCCAAAAATAAAAATAACAGTTTTCATTGCCATGTCCCCCTGTAATTAAAATTTCACGGCGATTTTGTTAATAATCGCTGCCGGTGAATGAAGCCTTTTGGAACTATGCTGTTTAATATAATCAGCGTGCACCAGCAGAACTAGTCTTCTCTATACAGCCGAGTGAAATTGAAATCACATGGCAACGCGCATTCCTCCTCCCCACTTCCTTTCGAGCAATGTTTGGATATTACAGACAGACCAATTTTGTTGAATTATGACAGTCTGTTGTCACGAGAGTGAACTTCACTGAACCGATCACATCACATACAGTTGTCCCACTCAAGAAGCTATTGCAGTTAACAGATTTTTCTTTATTGAGAATGTACTGTATATGCACATCACTCAGGAGATAATAACACGTCACGCTCTGCAGGCTATAGCATATCATGCAAAAGTCTCTTTTACAATCCAATGGAGAAATTGAAGTTGGGCTAATGCAGGTGTCCCCTGTTAAGATTTAAAAGACTTCCGTCATTTCTCGTGCAGTGCTATCATTGCTTTTGTCCAACATTTGCAGTGTAGTTTGTGCGCAACCGTCGTTTCCTCACAAGCTTAGCCCTAACCAGGATATATGAGCCCACCTTCTCCTTTGTGGTGGCACAGTGGCTGCGATGCACGTAGAAGGACATATATGTCTTGAAGGCTTCCCCACAGCTGCCACACACCAGCTGGTCAAGGCATTCAGCTGCATGGCGCAAGGCTGTCCGCACTTCCTGCTCACTCAGTGGCCGCTCGTCATTCAGCCGTGCCTGCACATAGATGTTTGTGATAAGTGAAGTACACATTTGAAAAGTGCGCTGCTCAGTAAACACAAGCCGAAGAAGACGATGACAATGGCATATAGCAGCAGCAGCACGTGTAAGCGTGGATAAGCTTAATCAATGAGGATTCTCCACGGGGATTTAGAAGCTTGAGGAACAGTGGCAGAATGGGAGATGTGACCAAGACATGGCAGAGTGAAGGTATCCAGGGCGCGAGAGCCGCAGCCAGTGGAGTACTTACGCAACCGCCCCTGTGGTCTCTCGCCTGGGCACTTACCCAACCTTCCTCCAAGCCTCTGGCATTGTGTTGGCCAAGCAAGATCGGTATCTCCTTTGTCAATTACAGTCTACGGCTGTAATGGCCAGACGCCCTGTACGGACAGGGCGTCTGGCCAATCCCTGACTCGCAGGGCACATTCATTTGCTGCTTCACCAACGGTTAAGCACCTCCACCACCTTTCCTGCCTCCGATGCCATCTTGTGTTTCTTGCCAATGGTGATGATTGATATGTGGGGTTTAACGTCCCAAAACCATCATATGATTATGAGAGACGCCGTAGTAGAAGACTCCTGGAAATTTCAACCACCTGGGGTTCTTTAACGTGCACCCAAGTCTGAGCACACAGGCCTACAACATTTCCACCTCTATTGGAAATGGTGTTTCTTGCCCGTGGTGACTTGCGCCTTATTAGGAATGGTGACACCTTTGCTATAGCGCGTCTGCTGATGTCGCTAACTAGCTGCTAGTTAGTTGTTCATGGAGCTTGGGTTGTGTGTGCTGAGAGTTTGTCATATTTAGGATCTGTTTGCTTGTAAATAATGTGCCACTACAAATGGTCTTCTTTGTTCTGGATGAGATTTTCATCATCGCTTTAGTTATTCCTAATCTACACGAGAGCACTATGCATAAATTTGAATAGCCTCATGACTATCACTCTCCTTTCAAAAATTTTCTATTATATATAAAAAAACTGCGAATGAGTGCATGATTCTCCACACACTTCACACACTATGCAGTTGACAACACTGTTTTGACATATATATTGCCTTCAGAAAGTTGATATTCACAAAATTAACCCACTGACTACATAACTACATACTTCTGACACATATAACCTATCTTGCGAGAAACTATACACCAGGTCAAACTTCACGTCGCATGCAAGTTTATAACCTCAAACATCTGCAAGAAACAATATTCATAGTCCACAGCCAAAATCTGGGAAGAGAACCAGTTATTCACCCTGATGCTCAAGTTATAGCATCCCAAACATGGTGCTGAGACTTTATCACCCCTACAGAAAAGAAAAATGAGCAGCCTTGGATGCACTCTCTACAGGAAGCATCTTTGCAAGTGCGCACGAAAAAACTCGTACGCTAAGCTAACACAATATTCTCTGCGCAGGTTGGATGGAATTCAAAACATTCTCTCCGAGCGTGTCGAGACAAGAACTTCCAAAAAACTATTTCATGCAAGCGATTGTCTCGCTTTGGCCCATGAGCTTTAATGAACCTGATTACATGAAAGACAATTTCTGCACTACATGACAGCACAGAGAATCGATTGCCTTCTTCACTGCTCAAATAGCAATGAGCTGTTGAAATACCGCTCAGATCGGGCTCACTTTCTGCTAGTTCTGCTTCTGGTTCTTTTAAAGTATATCTGTCGTCATTCTGCCTGCCCTCATCATCGCATATAGAACATTACAAGAATTCTGTCCTTATGGGTATATTACTGAGAAGCCTCAAAATGAAACCTAGATCAACGCAATAGCACAACTGACCGTAATCAAAAGATAGCGCCCTACATGCATTCTCTTTCTCCCACGTTTTAGAAAGCAGGGGCCAGGCATGACATCAATCTGCTCCTTATAAAGTCAACAAGGTGGGAGCTGCAGTTCAAAGGAAGCTAGAGGCATTGGAAGTAACAGTGATGGTAGTCACCTCTTACTTTTTGGAGCATACTTTGGAGTAGAAAAAGTATTGCTTTGGAGCAGCTATTGGTGTTTTAGGAGCAGATACTAAATTTGCCATATAAAGGGGTGCAACAGCCGAAATAAAATTTGGAGCAATTTTCAAAGCAGCGAAATTTTACTTTTGGAGCACTAAAATGCAAATTTGGAGCAGTGTAAAAAGAGAAGGCTTAAATTAAAAAAAACAAGTACTGTGAGGCCCAGCTTTATTTAAGTCGAGCTCAGGCACACATACATTGATGATATATATACAGATAAGAAAGTTGTACAAATGATGCTGGTATGTCTAAACCACAAAGAAGAGTCAACAAGCACACTAATTCTCTCTTGCGGTGGAAGCGGCCGCCTGGACGTGCGATAGCATTAAAGATTGTGTTGTGTACAGGGCTTTAACCGAGAAACATGCACAATTTCTGTTCCACGGCAATGGTGATTGGAAGAAGGCCTCAGGGGTGAAACACGGTAATTGACAAGGGCTGTTTGCTCTATGACCATGCAGGGGCCAATAAAGCGACTCATGAACTTTTCGCATAAGCCTCTCTCTCTCTCTCTCTCGTCTGCGCTCCATGGCAAGATGAGAGAGAGAGTGTCATTATCCACCCCACGAGTGCTTTGAAGTCGCCGCTGCTACGTCGTCCTGCAGTCACCCCTGAGGAAGGAACCAAGTCGGTTTCGAAACATCTGGTTTCTTCAAAACATTTGGTTGGCGTCTAAACCATCTCCCAGTTTCCTGCCGAACCACATAGACTTCTGTCGAATGTTTACATTCAAGTCACACATGAACCGCATTGAATTAACAGTTGAAAGTATCTGATCCGTAATAAAAAAGCTTAAGGTATCCACAAACTGTGGCATTGATGGTATCAACACTGAAATTCTAAAAATGACCATTATTCCTTGGAGTTTAATCTTTCATCTTATCTTCGATCGATCACTGTCCACTGGTACACTTCCGCATGATTGGAAAATTGGCAAGGTTTTACCGATCTTCAAATCAGGAAATAAAAGTGATGCAAATAACTGTCATCCCATATTCCTCATCAGCATTCCTTGTAAAATATTTGAACGTATCATTGCATCTAATATTGCCCATCATTTAGAAAATACCCATTACTTTTTTCCCCAACAGCATGGCTTTAGGAAAGGTCTGTCTTGTGAAACCCAACAACAGAAATTCACTCATGAAGTTCATTCTAATATGGATGGACCCAGGCAGACGAAATGCATTTATGTTAACTTTTTCAAAGCATTAGATCGTGTCGCACATAGTTGTTTAATTAATAAACTGCCTTCCCTAAATCTTGATTCTCTGACTATATCTTGGCCCCCAAACTTACTGTCGTGATGTAAAGAGTTTACATGGGTTAGTAACATCTCACATCCACTATATGAGGTTACTTCTGCAGTTCCTCAGGGCAGCGTCCTGGGTCCATTATTATTCCTCATCTACATGAATTACCTTCCATCACATACCACATCAAACATCCGACTGTTCACCAACGACTGCTTCATATACTGCAAAATTATAACTCCCGCAGATCATCTAGCAGTACAAATGGATCTCGACTTGATCACAATCTGGTGCTCAAAGTGGCAGATGACAGTTAACACTGAAAAATGCAAACTAATGACATTCAGCCAAAAGCAGTCAAGCTCAATCTACACATATTATCTAAACAATAAACCTATATTGGCAACGGATTACTACAAGCACCTTGGCATCAACTTCACTCCAAATCTATCCTGGTCAACACACATTGAAAACACTACTGCCACAGCATCACGCACACTCGAATACCTGAAGCGTAACCTTCATACGGCACCATTCATTACACATAAACTGGCATATCAACCACTTGTTCACCCACAACTATAGTGTGCATCATCCATCTGGTCACCTCATCAAGCCTATCTCATTGACTTACTAGAATCTGTGCAAAACCGCGCTGCACGTTTTATTGCACGTAACTGTAATTGCTATTCCATGTTGTAATTGCTATTCCATGTAACTAACATGAAGACTGTTGTCCTTATCATCACTGGCATTGCGTAGGAAGATAGCCATTCTGTGTTTATTACATAAAGTCATCTGCAGCACACACGTGAATACCTTGCCACTATCTAAACCTCATCACACATCTCGGAGACTTCCCAATCACCATAGTTTTTCTCGTATTTTGGGCCGCACGCAAGCCTTCAACGTATCCACGCTAGTGCGTGCCATTGCCCACTGAATTGATCTTCCTGATGTGCATTCGCGATCATGTGGCACTTAGAAATAAAATACTATTTACAACTGTGTTTCTTAAACATATCTTTCTTATTGGTGTTTATTCATTGTACATTTACATGTGAACCCATTCAGTTATGTATAACACAAGTTTCATATTATATGTGCTTGTTTTTCCTCATACTTAGCAATTGCATACACTTGGCTTTGAATTTATTTTAAAAAGTGTTGTATAGTCTCTCTCATATAATACTCCAACTTGAAGCCTGTGAGGTACTTGTAAATAAATCTGCAAGCACTAAAGTCAAGTTTACCCATTACTAGTGCGATGTTTTATAAATCTAGTTGAAGCAGCGGGCTTAACAGCGCTTACGATCGAACTTGACGGTGAAAACAGGATTGCATGAAGCATATTCGACTGTAGTAGAGTGCACACGAGACTGAAATTTCGACGTGGATGTTTCACCCTCAGCTTTTATCAATTGAATGAAAAATATCAGGAGCATTAAATTATTCACTGGACCACGGTTACAAGCCACCTGTGCTTTGACGCAAGTGTACTGAGCCAGGTCACTTTAGCAAGAAAAACAAAAGCGTGTGCCTCTCAATTAAGCTCCCAGCATACCGCGCATGTATTAATATAAATAATCCAACGTTCAGCACTCCACTGTGTTGTGCTTTTCGCAGACATTTCTGCCAGAGCATTGAAACTGACTGTATTAACTGTGTTATTGCAATTTCTTTATTTTTGCATTTCGTTCGCATCTGAATTACTCAAAGCTGTA